ATATATGATTTGCAATATTTAATTTGTTAATATAATTACTTAAATTTGATTTCAATCTGATAAGCCTCAACTTAATCATTACGAAGTTATGTTATTAATCATTTCGAGGACGTTGCGCTTAATAAATCATTCAATTTTGAAATAAATTATACGTTCCTTTTTTTTATCACTCATTTACTTAATGTTGTAATTTCATTTACAGAAATGATTATTCCTTTTATATTAATATTTAGCATATTACGTACCTATTTTAATTTTTTATACCTGAAATAATTATCGCAAGCTATTAATATACTTAAGTGTTGAAATTTTATATTGTTTATCTTTGAAGCTATGGGTATCTGTTAAGCTCTATTTAATAAAACCTACATAATTGAGTATTCAAATTAGGTTAATTTGTGGGTGTAATATTTACATATAATTCAAGACATTAAGCAGGATATCAAATTTATAAGCGATTTATATATTTAATACATTAAAACCTATATTAAGACTTAGAAAATCACTATTTAACATATAGATGAGTTATTTTTAGGGTTGTTAATATTATTAATTGAATTATCTTTTACACACTTATTATAAATTATTTGTATTTTAGTAGGAAAGACTTTAAATATACTGTTGAATCAAGAAGTCTTAGGATATATTCAAATTCATAACACCCAAATAAAGTTATGTTAATTATGAAATTAATTAACTGAAGTAATCAATTAAGTTAACCTAACTTAATTAATGAAATTAATATACTGTGCATAAAACTGGTATATATTTTAGAATAGTTTATACAAAATTAATTAACTTTTGTGATGTATTATTTGTACTAAGTTCCTGCAAATCTTATAAATACGTATAAATTGTTATTAAATAAATATAAATATATGACTATTACTAAACTTAATTGACTGTTATATTAAGGAAATGGGTCTGGGTGATCTCAAGTATAGAGATATAGAGGTGTAAACAATTTTTTATTACACATTCAATATTTTTATTAAATTCTCGATTTCAATTTTATTTCAAAAGATATATATTGTACATGTATGCATTTTTAAGTTCATTGCTTCAAATAAGATAAATGAATTTATATAATTGATATTAATTTTGTTTGTTATTTGAAAGGTGAACTTGGGGGAAACCTTTTAAAAAATGAATACAATTTGCATTCATAAGTGATTTAAAATGACTAACGATTGAAGCCGTAATAAATTATAATAAGTGCCATTAAATCATTATGTAAACATGAACGTCCAAAGGTTACTCCCTGTAATGGTAGTAGAGGATATTCAAATTAATGGGTGTCAAATTAACTTATTCAAACAAATTGTTTAATTACATATATTTTGTATAAAAGTTATCCAACTACAAAGGGGAATGTATTGAAGAGGAAATTTGTAGTTATTTATACAGATTTTTTGTCATATATCTTTCCATTCGAAATTACTCTATGGATAGTACAGAACTAAAGTGTATAGTAAAAGCCATTGTTGTTAATTTTCGTTACTATTTATAGAAAATACTATTTAATCACAAGAAGTTTGATTTTAAATTATTATAAAAATTATGCAGACTGTGTTTATTTTTAATTACATAAATTTATAAATTTTAATTATATATATAATAAATTTTATAAATAAAATAAAAATTAAATTTATAATTTGAAAAAAATAAATTCGACTGAAATAAATCCTTTATATATCTTCATGATATCTTCATTAATTCTCGAAAATAGATCAGATTTTTAAGGATTATATATTTAATTCTAAAAAACACACCCAGAAACATAAATCCTTAACTTCATATTCAACTATAGTTTGATAGTGTGATCTTCATGAAAATATATATGAATTAGTTGACATTCTGTTAAATTCTCAACTAGTATTAATTATTGTTCTTATTATAATTAATTTTCATATTTTTTATTATGAGTATATCACAACATGTCAATATATTAGCGATTTTCAAATATAGGAAGAGGACGATTCACGTTTCTATTTCAATTAGTTTTTTAAGTGTAAGTATATATCAGAATTTTCTAATTTAGATTTTCTAAAAAATTATTGTTCTAATTATAATTAATTTTTATATTTTTTTATTGCCAGTATATCACAACACGTCAATATATTAGCGATTCTTAAATACAGGAAAAAGACGATTCACGTTTCTATTTTAATTAGTTTTTTAAGTGTAAGTATATTTCAGGATTTTCTGATTTACATTTTCAAAAAAATTATTGTTCTAATTATAATTAATTTTTATGTTTTTTATTACGAGTATATCACAACATGTCAATATATTAGCGATTTTCAATTAATTTTTTAAGTGTAAGTATATATCAGAATTTTCTGATTTACATTTTCTAAAATATTTTTAATTTTGAAATAAAAAATTTAATACTAAACGAATTTATTGCGCAAATAATTTAAAAACTACATTGAATTAAATTTATTTTTAAATCACATTTTGCAACCTTTATATCTCTTTGCGTAACATATATATTTAGTATCCTTAATACCCGATATTCCATTTATATGATTTAAACGATTTTTAATTTTCACTTTAAAGTATTTTTTGAATAGAAAAGCTATTCTTAACAGGATTAACACAGTTATCAATCTCCTTCTTCTTTGAATGTAAATTAAAACTACCGATTAAAGACATTCCAAACACTTGCTAGACTCAATTTTAAATTGATATTTTACAGAGTGAACATTTACAAACAAATTATTCAAGAATTTCATTTTTAAATTTCATTATTTAAGCAAATTTAACAAAAAAAGCAATATTAATATATTAGTTTCCACTTTCACTGAATAAATTATTTAACTCGTTAAATAATTCTTTAACCTAATTCATAAACTCTACTAAAAATAATAATTCTGTGATTGCTTATACTTTCTTTATTTGCTTCAGTGAGAACAAGGATACAGCATTTATTATATATCCTTAAAATAATAACATTAACTGTACTCACCACTTGGTTTCGTTGGAATGAATTCTAGGGTTCTATCCTTGCTACGTAGATCCTCGCCAGTGCCATCGATCCAAACGTACGTAGCTTGTACAATATTCTCCTCAACAGGTAAGTCCAAATAACGATCCAGAATCGTTTTGTTTATATGAGCATTAGGTGAATCAGTTAGAATTCTAGCCGCCATACTAAAAACATTTAAAAACAAATTTATTAAAGTATTTCACACGCCATCAACACTTCTCGACTAATATTTCACGGATATATTTCGATTAAACTATAAACAAATTGTACCTTGAATTTTGGTTTTATTAAGGAATGACTTCAAAATGAAATGCAACGAGAAAATACTTTTTTCAAGTATTTATTTATTATGTGTAATATTTTCGAATTTTCGAATTTGGCGGTATCGTTACTGAAACGCAACTAAGTGGAAACTTAGCGTTTCAAGTCAATTTATAACAAAAAAGAATCATTTATTACTTACATTGTCAGTAAAACAAAAGCAAATAATAACAATAACAATAACAAGCGCAAAAGCAAGAACAAAAACAGTTACAGAAACAACAACTACCACAATGAAAATAAAAGCAAAAACAAAAACAAAAACAAAAATTATTCGCAATTGCGACAATAGTTTTTGCATGGAAATGCCGGCATGTCGTATGAGTGATACAACCGCAATGCCACACACACATACACACGCATACATGCGAAGCAATAAAATCAGTGGCGTTTAAAAAATTTATTATAACGAAAATATAAAATAATTGAATTATGAATAAATAAAACAAATAACAAACATACTGGGAGAAAGATTTAAGATTATTAAAATAATTTTTTTCATTAAAATACATAGAAAAATAAATTGGATATTGTTTGTTTAAAAAAAAATCTTAATTTATGGAGCCCATTAGTATGGTCAGTGGGATAGTATAAATAATTGACTTAGTTGACGAATAAAAATAAATAGATTGTTATGTTTCTATTAAGTATTTGTGTACTTAAAAAATATCTTACCAAAATACTGGGTGCATCATATCAACATGCCTTAATCTCAGTACATGATGCCTTGATCCGAAAGACGAAAAATATTGTATAGGTGAAGGGGTAATGATATATAGTAACTTATTTCAAAAAGACTATGTAAATCAAAATTAAATCAGTAGTGAAATACTCGTATAATTTTATTTATGAATACTTATACGCACCGTGGAATAAATACACTATTGTTGAAAAATCATTAAACATATCGATTCAAAGGACAATTATAGAAAAATGGTGCGTGATAAAAGAGAAATTGTTTTGAAAAAATTTTGGTTTAACAAAAAATATTAACAAACAAAATTATGACAAAATCTAATATTTTGCAAAAAAAACTATACAACATTAAACTCTAACACTTAAGTTCTGAATGCATTGAATTTATTTAAGATACTCTATAAACTAATGCAATATTATCGCTTATTGAACTAAAGGTTTTCCCCAATATGCAGTTCTTGAACATACTGTAGGCGTGTGGAGGCTTAACCTACACATTTATAAAAGTACATTGGAAAGATATAACCGGTCTTTAAACGAGCTGAAGTTGTTATTGGGAACAAAATACATTACCTTTTTAAGAAATTTAAATTTTTTTGTTAGAAACACTTTAATTTTTAAGGCAGTTTAATTTCAAGTTCATAATACCATAAATTCATAAGGAACAAAACTATTAAAGTATCATATAGGGCACTGTTTTTATAATGTTCCTGCATTTAAAGTAATTAAGCAATAGTAATTTGAAAAATGCAATAGTATCCGTATTTCATTATGTCAATATATCTTTTAAGTTAGAACAAAAGAATGAAGTTACATACAAAAATTGAACAAGAAAAAACCATTTTTGTGAGAAAAATAAAAAAGAAAATAAAATAATAATATTATTTATCAATAAATAATACAAATAGTTTAATTATGTTTAATTAAAGACTTGATTCAGTATGATGAGAATATACGGTACCTGATGGCTGGTTAACCCAATTTCTTTAGACTAGAGAGTTTTGTCGCAATAGCAAGTAATCTGAGTAAATAAGTAACATATCTTTTTAATATAGGTTCTAACATACATATTAAGCGTTTTCATCTTAACTGATAAATGCGTTATAAATCTTATAAAAGTATTAAGTTATCCACGTTATAAGTTAAGTGTCAAATCTTGTATGAAAAATCATTTACACAAAAAAATGAAAAATCATTTACACAAACTTCATACATTTACATGAAAATTTTACTGAATAAATTTATCGCATAAATTTATATGTTGCCAATTCAGAGTTGCATTTCAACACAAGCAAGTCATTTACAAAAATATTATGTAAATACTTTTGTTTGAACTTTTTGAACTTTTTAAACGCAAAAAATTATACATTTGATATGCTTAGATGAGTATCCTTATTGAATATGATATGGTACACAAACCACACTAGAGCTCAAATAATGGTCTAATATTACAGATTAGTGTTCATACGTAGACCGGAAGGAATCCCCAACGGACCGCAGTAATCAGTGTACAAACAACACTGAAAGGCACAACTCCCTTGTTTAAGTGGAAGTGAATCTGGTAAGTTTATAAACTTGGCTAAGTCCTTAATATTTCAAAATATTACTATTTTGAATAGTAAAAAAGGGACAACAACAATTTTTAGACTTCAATTAGCTGAAGATAGTCATTGACTAAGAAGGTGAAACAACTTCAAAGCGACAACCATGACAACAGTCTTTATAGGATAGATCGTAGTGCTGAGTAATTATCACTTTAGTGTAAACAGCTGACTGCTACTTTTTTGTCCAGTTTGGGTCAATAAAAATTAAAATCTGACAAGAATATTCATCTACCTAGGTTTGTTTGACTTGTGTTGTATTATACCCTCAAAAAATTGCTGGTGGAGTATTTGGATAGAATATTAATTAAAAAGCTTTATTCAAATATCTGTTTTATATTCACATTTAATTAATCTATTCTAATCATTTAGTAAAATAAATATTTTATATAGAAGGTTATTTCAATATATATTATATATATTTTAACTATTACTAATAAGTACGTAATATTTTTATAATTCACAATTAAATAAAAACTAATATTTGGATTATATTTTTATAAATTTAACATAATTAGTTAATATGTAAAGTAAAATTTACTGGTTTGAGAATTTGTAGGTAAGTTGTTATATTTGAGCCACATTGCCTTTAAAAAGTTTTAAAAGAACTTTACTAGTTTTAAAAAGAAATGTTTATTTAAAACTCGCACAGTAAATATCTCACAAAAAAAAATATATCAGTTATAAAGAAGGGACTCTTTAATGAATTCAATGAGTAATACTGCTTTGATACATTTTAAGATACATTTGAGGCATAGTTCTGATTTTTATCTTTTAAATCATATAAATATGATTGATATTTATACTGATTCTCATCTCATGATTCTTTTATCGAATATATTTCGATGCCATTGTAAATATTTTTAATACCGTATCAAGGCAAAACATTAAGTTGAATATGTCTAAATATTTTTATTTGTGATTAAGAGTGAAAACAATGTCTTTAGAAAGCACGACTGTTTGAATAATATTAAAAATTATATACACTTTAAGTTTTTATCCTTTCTTTTTAAAAGTTTAATGCACTGCTCAACCATATTCATTTATAATATTAATATTATTTTTATAGAATTTGCATATGACTTACGGATTCATTTTGACAGATTTTTTTTATTTTACTTGTCACTTTTTAAAAAAATATATTTAATTTTATTTAATTTTATGTAAGACTGTTTTAAATTGTCTTTCTTTATGCACAATTTTAAAAACTGCAATTTCACTGAGTTTTTATTGAAAAAATGTTTGAAGCAGTTGAACTTCTTCACAATCGAAATATTTACGTGTTAATGACAAACGTTTTGATTTTGGTTCTGCTATTTATAGCTTGGTTTCTTAAATATAAAATTAAAATAAAAATTAATAAGAATATTTTCTTTTATTTAGTCTTTGTGTTTTTTGCGTACTATTAAAAAGTGCTAATTACCTATATAAGAAATCTCACTCTCTTACAATGCCCCAAAAGTGTAAATAAAAATCAGACACGAAACGAAACATTTAAATACTGACGTGACTTTGTTTGAAGATTCGTTAAAAAATTTATATGACAGTAATAAAACAGGCATAAAAATTTGGTATCTAGAATAAAAAATTTATTCTAGCCACTTCCAAATTTAGTTACATTCATTAAAGATGGCGTCATTAATATGGTGTCCTTCAGGTGTGACAATTCATGCTAATTAATGTAATTTTGTAAATTGTAATCAAAACTTGTTCTTTAGATAAATTAGCTTTAGAGGTACACTTTATATTAATAGATAAACAACTTTTTTTTTATACTAATTAAACAATAATCTTAATTAAGGCCGTGTGCGAGTTCGAGTAAATTGAGGTAAGGTTAGGTTAGGTTAAACCGACGATCCCAGGGGGATCCAGTTAGGCCCATAGGCCCATTGTGTTACCGTATTACTGAAAACTTAAAGGCTAAAACCATCTAGAACCCAAAAATTTAAGGCGACGCCGCGCATGTGCCGTACAGAAACAAAGCAGGTGGGAGGCACTTTCTTCATCCTCACCACAACTGCGGAAAACATGGTTGAAAGGGAGATTCAGACTAATATATCTCTGAGATAAAGGTAATTTAAATTTCCTATTTAGTTTATAATCATATTACGACATATTCCATGAATTAATTTTTATTTTAATAACAAGAACATTTTTTATTAAATTTCCTGGTATGAATTTATTTAACTCCAGTATTTAAAATAAGTTTCTTATAATTTGCTTAGATCAACGGTCAAAACAATAAAATCGATGTATTTTTAATGGATGATACGTGATTTCATCAAAAGAGTATTAAAGACATAAAAAAATTTAACAACAAGCACACGTTTAAATTAATTAACGTTTTAGTAAAGCTAACGACTCTGACAAAAAAAGGGAAGACAAGAAAATTGATTAAATACCCTTTATACAAATTAATTTCAAAAAAAAATGTGAAATAAAAATATGTCAGCTAACAGCACTAGAAAAATAGGATAATTTCAAAAAATAAAAAAAACATAATAAATATAAATATATTAATATATATTATTAATTTTTTTTTAATATAATATATATAAGATTACAATCGGGGTCGATTTTGACAAAAATGGACTTCTGAAATTTTTCTATCTCTGAAGAAAAACTCCTAAGCTAACCCTGGCAGTTTAAGGTTAAACTACCTCCAATAAGTTGTTGTCTCTTACAGAATCTAATAATATGTGTATCTTGGTTCAAGAATTTAAATCTCTCTTGGCTTAATGAAAGCTACAAGGAGATAAGAGACTACGTTTCCTGACAA